AGATGATGCCAAAATTAGATCATTCCACTGCAGGCGCTGATCATTGGGTGTTCAGTGGTCTTTAATGGCTAAAGCTAAGTTGTCATCTCTTTACTACACTTGTCCTTTCACTGAACACAGTGCTATACAATCAAGACTCACAGATAAAAGAATATTTGGAAAAGGAATTTATAAAGATAGGCCATTTTAGGAGCGCTTTACTTCCCATATCTGCACATTTGGAGTTTTAAACTAAAAAAATTAAAACAGTATAGCACTGTACCAGCTGTTATCAAACAGGAACGAATAAGTTAGGGATGGATGATATGGCTGAAAAACGTATCACGATTTAAGCATCTCATGTCAGTCCATATCGCTAATTATTATTAATTTGTTTTTTGATTTGTTTTAAATATCCAAAATACTGCCAGAGTAGTGACATGACCTTTTGTCCTTTTCTCCAGTTTTCTCTGGAGCATTTTCTCCTTTTATCGTGCATGGTTGAGATGACAGTGATAAATTCATTCTTTTCCCACAAAGCTAATCTCCATCAGGGGAGCCACCGCACAAGTGTCAGCGCTGTATAGAGACCAGCAGTCACACTCTGCATTATTACAACAGATTAGGCTGACTCTCAACATTATCAGCTCGGTGTTGCATACAAAAGAGTTCGAACACTGTTTCCTACTGAGCAGCTTCCTGTGCGAGTCAGTGCGTCACAGAGTAGGCGTACACAGTCGCAAACATAGACATCATATACGTATTTATGTCTATGGTCGTAAATACCGACCTTTTCACGAACGTGTCCAGTGAAGTACGACAGAGAGTGTTGAGGGCAACATAAAACTGCTGAGGCGCTAGTTGCTCAAAAGGTTGTTCCGATCAAGTCAAAAGGTAGCTAGTGAGTGAGTTAGCTGATACCACCGTCAGAGGTTGAGCAGCTACATCCCCCAGAATGCTGGGCATTTCTTGATCGGAGTTTAGTGAAATTATCAAAATTCCATCAGACTTATTATCTATTGATATTGGTCACGTGTTTATAACTATATATATCATTTTTATAGCCCAACTCTGAACAATATAAGCTCCACTTAATTCTATCTCTTTTTTAAAATTAAACCATTAAATCACACTCTATGTAACAACATATAGAGTACCAAGTATGTATACTCCATTGATACAGTCGTGAATAAATTAGCAGGAGTTGAATCACTCAGAAAAAAAAGTGTACCATAGCAACAATGGAAAAGGACAGCAGCCAAGAGGCTCATAGTGATTCTGGACATCAGCAGCTCAGGTGGGAGAATCTGAGAAATAATAACTATTAGCATGTGTTAACATGGCCCAGTCAAAGTCCCTGACATAAGTGATATTCAACAAATCTGACTGAGGTGGCACTATTTTGATAACAAGTACACTGTTATTAAAATAAAAAAGCTGAATACAAATGCACACCACACTTTTCAGATTTAAATTTTTAAAAAAAAAAAAAAAAAGTAAAAAAAAAAACTATACACTCCTTCATTTTTCTGCAATTGTGTCAAATTACACAATTGTTACTCTGCTTTGTGTTGGAGTATCTAAAAAAAAATCCCAATAAAACGCACTGAAGCTTGTGGTTTTGGCATGGAAAAAATGTGGAAAGTTCAAGCACTGCGATGTTAATGTACATGAAGCAGAATAAAGGATAGCGTCTCTGATAATTATACAGCACGAGACGCTCCTGAAAACTGCATGTCAACCCATAATCAAATGAGTCAGGAGGAAAGAATGTCCAATAATAAAATTGCAGACACTCGCTCTGAGAGATCAAATTCTCTTCCCTTTGTTTCTAAAATGAAATTAGTCAAAATCGAGAATAAAGTGGACAAGTACAGTTTGTGGCTTCCATTGGAAGTCATGCGGTATAAACGTGTTTCACCTCACAAGGAACTAACGGGGAAAAATATTCAAAGTTGTTTGAACTGCAGCAGGATGTTTTCTGCCTCGGCCGTGTGTGCACAGCAGCTTCAGAGAGTGATCAGCTTACAGGAAATAACCGTCTTTTGCACAAAAACAGAATGTCTTCGCTTTGTTAAAGGTGAACCAATTAAGACAGTGTTGTTTTTTCCACCTCTGGTAAAAGTCAGAAAAACATTTAGTCTTGCTGAAATTATGACCAGAAATTGAGCAACAACCACTGGCGTTTGATCAGAGCCGCCTGTCTCTTTCTGGTTTTTACACCGAGCATCGGTTCAGATAAAGACCCTCCAACAAGGTGTTTGTGATGCTGCGTTTATCCCACAGGTGCTGGCAACAGGTGAAGGCCGAAGGAGCGGAGATGCAGCCTCTCCAGCAGCGTGGCCGACTGCCACGGCGGCTCCAAGGGTGAGGGATCATCTTCCGCCCAGCTGCTGATGCCCAGTTATCCCAGAGCCATTCATCACGGCTCGCTGAAAGTCAGATATGCACTGTCGCCCACCACCCCACCCCTGAAGCCCCTAACATTCCAGAGTTCCCCCTTGCGGATCTGTGCTGCTGATAGCTGTCAGGACAGCAGTGATGCACCTACAAACCCACCACAGAGCATAAAGCTAATCTAGTTTGAATGGGAAAAGCTTAGCTTTTGCTTCTGTGAAACTAAACAAGACCACATTCTTAACCGCTTTACTTCAAAGGCAGTTCATGAGGTGTTATGCATCAAACAAAGCAAAGTGAAGTAAGTGTTTTTTTTCTATTAGTATGAGCATTATCCTAGTTTGTAAATCAATTAAGACGTAAGCTAACCTTTGAATTCTTTGAAGATGAGTTTAGTACAACAGATCTGGTTTTACAACAATGAAGATGCACATAATGCCTAAAAGGCAGTTTTGTGTCAGTATTCAGAACTGACTGTATGTTTTACTGCTGACACAGGTGTTAGCAGTGCTGCCTTCCATCAAGAAGGTGCTGGGATAAAACCCTGGCCACTAGCTTTCTTCATGGATTTCACCTTATTCCTAATTTACAACGTGGATTCTCTTAATGTACTCAAGCTTAATTCCAAAATCTGTCTTAATTTTGGTCTCTAACCTGATAGAATAAATGTGTGCATTCAACGTTTTGTTTTGATTCTCTCACTTTGTCCCGACCCTGTTACTATTACATTTCAAATATAAACCGGAGAGCAAACTCTAAGCAATGTCAGAGCAAATACAAACTACACCTGTTTTGGCCAACGACTGCTTTAGCCACACTTAAAATCTTCTTGAGAATTTTGATGTGGTCAATGTCAACGTTATCGCCACCTACTGGTGCCAGAGTAGATAGTGTCGAAATATAAAGATTCAGACCGTAGCTTTACAGAAGAGGTTAGCATCCTGCTTCAAAAACGTATTTGGAGAATATGTGAACACAGCGAAAAGACAAACAAAAAACAAACACACAAGGAACTGCAGCAGCCAATAAAATCTTTCTTTTCCAGTAAGTGTGATTACAAAGGGTGAACAGCACTAATTGTTATGGAAAGCTTCATTAGATCCAGAAAATAATGTGCCTGATACAGTTTTTCAAACCCTGCAGTTCTTCTGGTGGATGGTAATAGCATCTAGGTATACAGTAGAAAAAATTCACCTCCCTGGTTACAAACATTCAGAACAAATGTTTTGATGGGAGTTTTCCACATATGCGTGGAGGGGGTGGGGTGTTTACACATCTATCCACCATTAGTCTTGTATGTGCTTGCCCCGAGACAACCTATTGACTGAGTAAAGCGTGGAGGAGGCTGGGTTAATCCTGTGCCTCTCCAGTGATGTTCTACACTTCTGATTGATGCTGAGCTTAAGTAAAGATGAAGCAAAACCAGCAAACATATTGACAGCTTCCTTCTGCAGGGTGGCCGTCAGTTAAGTCTGTCATTATTTATCAGTCGATTGATGGACTGGAAGCAGAAGCAGGGCAGAGTGACGACTGTTTTCAAGCTGCAGACGGCGCCGATTGTACTTCCTAGAACCATAACTGAAAAGGTACTGAATTTCTGCTTCAGCTGTCAAACAGTCAACATATTTGTGAAGGACCAAATGGAACTGGATGAAAGCAACCAAATTTAGTGAGCAAACATATGAGGTGTCTTTCACTGGTATGTAAGGCATGTGAGAGCATTTTCTTCTTTTATGGTTTAAGGCTATCACTCTTCTGTTCTGTATCTGAGGCATATGATCAGCTGGAACCAGGACAGGTAACTGACTTCTTCTGTTTGATGAATATGTATACTTGGAACTATCGCCCTGGCACCTTGTCCGAAAACCGGAGGAGTGAGTTTAAAAATGGCAACAAGTTGTATGCTGTTCACCAAATATGGACAGAAACAGAAAACTCAGCTTAAGCATAAAGTTCAGCATGTTCACCTCACTGTCTTTCCCTCATGACCGCATATCATGAGAAAATGTTTTGCTAAAGTCCTGCAGCACGCACAATCAGCGTATTCACAAAGACTGAGTACAGAAGTGGTACTCGACACCCAGAGGTCTTCTGTGCATCTACTTGAGAAGCTGATGGGAAAGTATACCAGAGACCACTGTGGTTTTAGTTAAGAGTGGGTTATGCTCTGGTGCCTTGCTCAAAGGCACTCTGGCACAGACAGAGTGGATGTAGCGCCCGTGCAATTCTCAGACCACCCAGTTTCTGTCCGCTTCAGATAAACAGTCGAGGTTCTTAACCCTAGACAATAAAAACTGAACACAATAGATGACGGACAGATTAGAAAAACCTTAAACTCACTGTCTCTGGGAGAAATCTCTTTAAAGTGCCTTGAAGGGATAAGAAAAGAGATGTTGCAGAAGCTTAGTGGGAGATTTGGGAACTTAGATATTTTGGATCTGCCACACAAACTATTTGATCTAAGGTGATTTGTTTAAAAGTGACTCTACCTTCAGGTATTTTATGATAAAAAAAAAAAAACACTAAGAAAAACAACAGGTTTTACTTGGAAAAACCTGCACATGCTCAGTGAGATTTCAACAGCATCCCCCTCCCACCAGACACCAAACCCTCCCAGCTCTTACCATATTATAGCAGGACTTCCTCTCTGAGCCAGTGAAGTGGTACGGGTCAATGGTGTTGCACCTCTGCATGTACATCTTGAACATGTTGTTGATGTGCTTCAGAGACATGACGCAGACAGCCGAGTTGGGGGTCGGCTCCGGAGAGCCCGGCTGGCCCTGAGCGAAGGCGGCAAACAGCACATCTTCGTCCTCTTCCGCTTTCAGCTGCCTCTGCAGTTCTGCGTCGTCGCCCACCTTGGTGACGTGGGCGGCCTGAAGGATGTTGAACACCTTCACTTCTTCGGTGGCGCGTCTGCGTCTTTTGTTCGTGCTGATGCACTCCAGGGGCATTTCCACATAGCGCCGAATTACGAGGTCTGAGGAACACATGCGTACTATGCGGGTGTGGTAGGCCTGAGTGTCCTTGTTCACTTGCTGCACCGTAAGGAAGTAGGTGAAAGGTCCGCTGTGGAAGGAGTAAACGTATCGCAGGTAGTAGTTTCCCTGGAGAGAGGGGATCAAATCCATGTGTGACAGGCTGGAGAAAAAAGTGAAGCCGTTTTGGCTCGTCTTCATCTTCCGCTGTGAGATGGTGTGCAGACGCATGATACTGCCTGAAATGTTTCCTGCCTTAGGGATCTCAGAGTTCCCAACAAAAAAAGTGATGACATTGCTCTCCACATTGAGCACTTGAGAACCTGATGGGCTGACAACAACATCTGCATCGATGGGGTGGCCCTGGCCTGGCTGCACTTTGTCTGCAAAGCAGTAGACGTCCTCGTCAATAGCTTTTAGGCTATTGCCATCATCCAGGACATGACGGCGGCACACGCCGTTATCTGCCGAACCACAGCTGTACAATCCCTTGTCGTAAATGTTTTCCACCACCAGAGCGATATTGTGGTTGTCAACCCCACTGGCGCCGCCCGTTGTTGTCTGCGTCAGGCCGCAAGCCTGGTGGGCAAGCAGTGGCCCTGTGTGGTACTCCGACAGCTTTGTGAGGTTCGGGGCCAAGGCGTAGATTCTGTTCACAGCTCCAACGTAGATGATGCCGTCCAGGGTGACCATGTTTTGAATGGGGAAGTCTGCGGTGAAGGTTGGGAGCTCATAGGTCACAGAGAGATTTAGTTTGCTTGTCTCAGATGATTTATCACAGTAGTTCTGCATGCTGGGGCTCAAAGCCCACAGCAACATAGTGGCATGGAGCAACAGAAGATTCATCCTGTTCCAAAAATAAGACACGAGAAAGGAGTAAGTAAAACTTTTCACGCATAGCAAAGTCATTCATCATTGAAGTCTAAACCGTCTGGAGGGTGCAATTTGTGTAAAAGCTGAGACACTTGCTGATTAGGGACAAGAGTGGAGAAGAAGTGGAACAGTGAAAAATGCATCAGAGAGCAAAGCTAGGGTTTGCTCACATCCCCACAATCAGTGAATCTTATTCATGCGCTGCTGACTGAAGGTTTTATTTATAACAAAAATCTTTAACATCTGCCTTTATTTTGATGGCAATTTTGTCATGAGACAGCACTGACCACGGGTAAAGCAGCTGCAAAGAATGAGGCGAGCACCTCTGAGTTGCTCGGGCTCTATTCCCAAGTGACCACAGCACAAGCCAATGGAGTGAATCACCCTCACAGGAGCATACTCTGCACGGCGATCCAACTGCTGAGACTAAGTTTAGATGGTGAAAACCCCAAGGGAGTAGAGATAAACTCAATTAGAACAGAAGAGGCAGGAGGGAGATGGGACCGGAGGGACCGTCCTGCAAAATGACAAATAACCCCGCTGGCTAAACGGTAATCCACTGGGAGACGCTTTTAAGGGATAAAGAGCCAGGGGGAAGAAGAGAGAGGAGATTCAGCCAGGACAATTTGCAAAATGTACATTTGCATGTTACATCATTGGGAAGGAGATCTTAACACCATCCCCTGATGTAAACTAGACCAGAGCAATACGACCCACAAAAGTTGAATTTTTGTACTCCAGCTCATAGCAGTGCAAGTTTTAATTGGGATTTCCGGCACACTTCCTGCGCACAAAAAAATAATACTTGTTGGTTATTTATTCATTAACCCTGATCCTGGATTTATGCTGTTGGGACTGAGGCAGAGAAGCTTTGACCAAACACTGAATATGCTGATTAAGTGATAATCTGTTAGTCTATTAATCTGTTGATTAAGACACAGACTGACTTTTGAGAGTTCACCGCAACCCTTCCACAGGATGAAGCAACAGCAATAAGATGGTGAACTTTCCTACATAATAACACAAAAATTTTAGTTTATATTAGAAGAATAACTTTGTACACCAATACAAACTCTTTTTCTTTCATCTGCTTTATGTTCAACATTCACATTTTAACTGAAGAATTAGTTCACAAGTCTAAATAGGTAGTCAGTAGCTGATGTACTTAACATTAACAATGACTTGTACTGTTTCAATTCAGTTGTTTATTCAAATGAGGTTGAATAAAACTAAAAATAATACACTTCATCATAGATACTACTTGTTAAGATGGAAATTATGGTTCATTCTATTCCACCGTTAACATCAGACATTAATCGTTTTAATTCATGTTTTATATTGAAAACCTGATTAGATATGCTGGGTCAGACCCATAACCCATCTCTGCTGTGCTAAACTAACCCAGGCACTGGATTGGTCCACATTTAACCTGACCTGAACTAGAAAAATAATTCAAATATGGTTGTTTTAACCCACCAGTTTTTAAAGTGTAGCTTAGAGTTGTCTTATAGTTTCATGGATCCTTTTATTTAGTGGATAAAACAAGAAGAAAAACGTGCCCTGACAGCAACAACATCATGGCAGAAAATAAAGATTAAAATATGCATGGTTTTAAGAACATGTTTAAGGTTTATAACTGTACTATAGCGAGCATATTTTACATGAAGGGAAGGGTAAGGGGTCACTATTCGAGAATGATGAGTTTTGGGGTCACATTTATGAACACCTGCACAGAAAGAAAGAGAAAATAGCCTGAGCTTTTCCCCAAAGAACAGGAGAGGAAAACGGTAAAAATGTTTTGCAGAGTGAAAGGAAAATGACTCATACAGAAAAGGCTCCGAAAAAACACTTATGGGCAGTTATTGATAGAGGTGGTGCTGTGAGCCAGAGAAAACATTTCAAAACACGTTGTCATGTTTAAATGAAGAGGAGGAGGAGAACATCCGGAGGTAAATGGTCATGCCTTTGCCTTTTTACTCATGAAAACAAAACAAAACAAAAAATCCTGCTAAGTTTAAGAAAAGATCAACAATGAAAAGACGGACTCACCTGTTAGGAGACAACAATTCCGTCCGTCCCTTTGATTCAAATCATAGTCCCGCTGGTCCCTCTTGAAAAATGAAATTCCGCGACTTGTTTCTTCACTCCGCAGAGATCGCAAGATGTAATTCTACTTGGCTAAAGCGGAGTTTTATACATATGTTTCTGTATAAAAATGAAAAGAAAAAAAAGGAAAAACTTCGGTCTCACTGATCTGCTCGTTTTCCAACAAGTGAAACACAGTCAGGCGATCTGCTGTTGTAACGCGTGAGAGTCAGCTCTGACCGACTGCATCCAGCAGAGAGTCGCTGCTCCGCTCACATCTCTGCCCCGCCGCTGGCCCCGCCCACACCTCGCTCTGGCTCCGCGCGAGCTCCGTGACGCGTCCAGGTGCTTCGAGCAGTTCTGACTCGGAGTCGTTGGTGAAAACGATTCGAAGAGACACGGCACTGCTGCCTTTTTTTGAATTCTACTTTTTAACCTTTCCTCCTATCATCCTGAAAAAAAGAAAAAAGAAAAAAAGTTTTTCCATTTACTACATAAAAGTTGACGACACTAAGATATGTGATATTTTCTGATAGATTTGCACAAAGATGTAAATAAGAATTTAACCCGTTTTGGTGTCTACTGCTTAGTTTCTTATCACACTAAAATGTTTCAACTCAAACAAATTTTAGTGCCAGACAAGATAACCATAAGAGCTAAAAACAAAAACAAAATTCTCAAATGATGATTTCTTTTAAAAAGGGATAAAATAGTTCAAACTAAACTGGGTCATCTGGGATAAAGTAACCAACCTCTTATTAAATCATGAATGAAATGGGATTTGGTTTCAATTTCACTCATACATCGTGTGATTACCTGATCTAAAAACTGACATTCAAGAACAGAGGAGAAACAAATGTTCTTAAAATATGTCATTCTGATGGTTGATAAAGTCATTTTGAGGCTTTGGGACTCAGCGAGAGCCATTATCCACAAACAGAAAATTTGAAGCAGTCCTTGTGTGTGACCAACCTATAAAATTAACCCAACACTGCCAGTCTCACTTCCCTCTGAGAAAGTCAGTGTTCGACAGCCTCAAGGTCCCCGCCAGCCATGAAGGGAACGCCATTTTAAAGCAAAAATTTAAGTTTGCTATGAACCAATGTTGATTTACAAAAAAAAAAAAGCTCTACTACATCACATGTCCTGTTAGTTTCACTGGATTTAAATGAAAGGGAAGCAAAAGCTGAGAGCTAACAGGGTCTTTGTTCTTCCACCTGACTCTCCTCCTGCACCCCTCTGAGTCAGACCTCTGGTCCTCATGTCGAAACGTCTCACTCTGCCAGAAATAATGGGCTTAGTTCTGTAGGGTAAACCAACTATGTATGAGCGTGTTTCAGCAGTGAATCACTGTGGGCAGTGAAGAAGAAAGAAAAATTCCTTTGTGCCACTTCCTGAACAAGAGAGGGCATTTGGTGAGAAGACTGGCAGGCCTGATAAGAGAGCCAGGATGCAGACTGAGTAAGACGACGCTGTTTGGGTTCACTCTTCAGAGTGATGACCAGCCACTGTGGGATCTCATCAGACAGATGATCAAGGAGTTCCACAGGATGGGTCACGTGACACATGGCTCTCACTCATTTGAAGTGTCATCACAGAGTATACCTTCCTGAATTTTAAATCTCCAATTATGTCCATATATCAGCCTGAATAACACAGTTGTGTTAATTTAAACTCATTAAGCCCATGAATGTTCCAATATGCCACATTTCTGATTTGTAATGACTTCGCTGACCTGTTGTCTTTCTACACTGGACTCATAATACCATAGATGGTACAAATTGAAGAACGTTTGAAAATGGTAATTGAGTGTGCATGTCACCATCTTTTAACTGCACTTACCAAGTAGTTTTTTTTGTCTAGTTTCCAGAGAAAATATATTGTTTTAAGTCAATAATTTCTTGATATTTATAAAATGCAAGTTTCACTGGCAGATTTTCTTTCACTGGCAATGTGAAAAATGTCTACCAGTGGAAGTAATGTTTTTGTTATATCAATATTAAGGAATTATTGACCTTAAACAAGCTCCAATATTTTTCTTAAGCATTACTTGTAAGTTAGTTTTGTCTTATTTCAAGTGTATATTTGCACTAGAAACTAGAAAAACAAAACTTGGTAATATTTTGTGTTTTTGTCATTTGTGTTCTGGTGTTTCTGTCTTGATTATTTTAGTATTACTAGCAGTAGTACAGAGTTTCCTGGTTTATTACAGAATTTGGATTCATTACTCTAGGGCCTGTGTCAGTTCATTTTAAGAATTATTTCTACTTTCTTTTGCATTAATTAGTTTCTCTGTATTCTCTTTTATTCAATATATTCCTCTGCATTCATTATTGTTACATTTGTTTGTCAGTTTCTCTATCTGTGTATTGGTTCAGATTTCTTCCATTTTTCCTCCGTTTCTCCCCTTCTAGTGTCTCTGCATTCGAATAATTGTACTCAACTGGTTTCCATTCCACAATCACATCTCCACAGTATTTATGCTGTTTGGTTTCTGCTGCATTGTTTCATTATACAGCTCCTATTGCCTCGGTTCCTTTGTGTCTCCTACAGTTCTGTAAATTTATTGTTTTACTTTTAAAATCCACAATGTGTCTGCCATTGTTCTGCTGCAGTTTGGGTCCTCTTCAAAACTGCACAGTTCAGCTTTGAATAAACAGGGAAATTTATCTGTCTACAAGATAACACAGATAAGCTTAAATATACACATACAGCCCCATTGATATTTCCTTCAAATGCTTTCTGAAGCCACCAAGAGAGCTTGATGTTGGCACATTTTTAACAAAGTAGCAGTCAGGCCCTTTGGAAGTTAATTCCTGGAGATTAAAGGGAACTTATTACAGTCATTCTGTTTTCTGTTTCATTTAGGATGACTGACCCGTTGAAATACCAAGTTTTTAAAGTCTAAAGTGTGATTCGGGTGAACTTTGAGAGTTTGGAGATTGATATTCATCACTATTCCTTCCAAAAGTACTAGCATGATTTGGTATTTTCTCACCTGATAGTCTTGTAGACTCGGTTTGATTTGGGGACCAAAAACTGCTTTGTTACATTTTCAGTTGTGGTTCACTTTCACACTACACTGTGTCACACAATCCAAACAAATTGAAAAACCTGTTCACCTCCTTGCCTGTGGTGGCGCTGCACCAAGAACTACTGAAGGAAACACTACAAAATCCTGACTGCAACTTCTTTCTTCACAAAATGTAAATGAAAGTAGAGTAGCGTCAGATTTTAGCAGTTGTATGATTTCTCTTTTGTCTCTGGTAAAAGACCACAAGCCATTTCTCCCTGCAGTGCTAGGCTTGTGCATTTATTTTGGGTTTGTTTACCCAGAATACCTTGCGCTGTAGTTCATTTCCTGCTTTTGGCGTGGTCTCCGGTCTGCTTGGATCAACATATATACCAGGCTTTTAGGTGGACCAGATTTCACTTTTTAGTCCTCAAAAGTCCAAGAGTTCGGTTGCACATTCACACCCCCGCAAAAAACAAACCAGAATTTGATTAAAGTGGACTAAACATTGCTGGTCTTAAAATCTGGATGGTCTTAAACATTCTGCTTCATGGCAGGCTTGAACCTTGCTGGTTCTTTCCTTGTTCCCCCCAATTTTTTTTTATTTGATGCAAACAGTATGGATTTCTTTTTTTCAATCTTTCAGCAACATACGTGCTGTAGAAGTACAGAGGAATTTGCTCCAAGTAAGTTCTGACACAACTTGTTTACTTAACTTGAGAATCTTATGAACCAAACTCCAAAGGCTACACTTCACCCTTCTTTGTCCCTGCAGATAATAGCAAAAACTAAATATGCGATGGTTCACAAGCAATAAGCATGTTTGGACTCAAATGAAATGACGAATCAAGCTGATTTACTGAGAGATGTGACCGTCATGCTGAAATTGTTCTTTTTTCTTCCTAATGATCTTGAAATTTCACAACCACACTCCCGTGCCCGCTGCAGTGTTGTTGCCTTTTTGGAGGAACTGTGTTTGCCATACCTCAGGGCATTTCCAGTGCATTTGCCAAAGGGGTGTGTTGAAGACAGGTTGTGTGCGTGTAGCATGTGTGTACACCCTATGGGTGTGTCTGTGTGGCTCCAGTGGTGGTGAACTGCACTTGGCTCAGGCTGCAGCAGCATGAGGAGGAGGAAGGAGGAAAACGTGGTAAACATACCATGAGGTTCAGTGGTGAACCTCGCACATGCTTGCTTTTGTTAAGTGCTTATCTGAAAGCGTGACATGTGCTCCAGGAATGATTTGCATCCAACAACCACAACACCTGCAGCAGAACAAGGAGGCAACAGTTTCTGGGTCTGTTTTCTTCCCATGCCTCAAACTTTACTCATCAGTCCTTAAATAACTGTTCAATTTAGCTTACACTGGTGATAAGCTACATGTAAAAGAACATCCTCATTATCATTTGCTCTAAAGAATAAAGGAAAATGTCCAAAATCTTAATAACAAATAAAAAACAGACTGAATGTTCAGTTGCAAAAATTCTCCTTAGTATATTAGGAGGAAAGTCCAAATATCAGCAAAGTATCTTTTCAAAATTTTGTCCTGGCAGTATTCTGGACACTAAATTGCGCCCCCTGCTGGTATGCGAGGTAAAGACATTGGCAG